CTAATCTCGTCCTTTCTCCAGTCACAATACCTAAAACGATGTTTTATTATTACAATAACTTGAATAATGGTTAACGACAGCAAAAAAGAATTGAATATTTACTTAATTCCCGAGGAAGAGGCACAGGAGTTGAACTATTTTCAGCATTCATTCCTTTTTCAATATCCGCGTCCTTCGTTTCGTTCAGCAATTCGTATTTCCGTCCGCTTTTGTAATGCTCCGAGGCATCAGCTGGTATCGAAAAACGATGAGTGATAGTCTTCGTTTCCGGTCGAGTAGCATACAAATCCAATAAATAATAAATCGTCTTCCAGCAGCGGGGAGTTAAATGAGTCGCGTCTTTTATTTTATCAGGAAGTATGCAGAATTTATCCAATCCAGATCCGTTTGGACTGGCACCGAAATTCGGAGTTATCACACCCTCGCTGAGATTGATGTACCCTTTGACGCTCTTTCCAGTACTGCGGAGTTTTTGAGCGAAGCTCTGCGGCCGGGAACGGACAGTGGCACCAGCGGCTGGTGCGGTTTTTGCGAGGTTTGGCTCGAAACTGTTGCGCAGCAGCGGCACGTCCATCTTCTTGCCTTCTATTAAAAGTTGCTCTTGTAAATCTGACGCTAGGCGAGAAAGCAAAAATAAATTGTATTCAAGCAGCAAACGACGTGCACAGCTAATTTTAATTAAATATTTACTTGATGACGAGCCGTTCTTCGCTACAGGATCGTTTACGATCAAATGATTGTTTCGTTTTCGTTCCGGTTGCTGTTCTTTCAGCTCCATTTGCGTCTCCTTAACGTTTTGATACATATTACTTATCTGATGTAACAATCGGAGAAGAGGCATGTTTACTTGCTGGCTAATGTACCGTATGTTCAAACTAAAGTTCACGGATGTACTAGTGTGCTTCTTCAATTGGCCCCGGGATATGTACAGCACCGTTTGCTTTTGTATCATATCGTCTACTGTCATATCAGCCATTTTCTTAACGTCGATATCAATGCCGATCTTCTCGCATAGAAACGCAGGCGTTTCCGGCGGAATATCTAAATGAAATTTAGAATTTCCCTTCTTCGTTTGATACTTATTACCTAAACGAACATTTGTAAATACATTTTCAATGTTCATGTTAATAAATTAATTGTTTAGATTATTTTAACATACCTTTCCTCTTGTCAGTCACTTTGCCAAATTCACTGACGACTATGTCGATTCGCATAGTTTCCATATTTCCTACTAAAGACAAGTTCGATCCTAACGAATCTAATGACGATACGTTGTTTGTATTTCCTGAACCGATGGCAGACAACATTTGCTGTGGCATGACAGACAGTGAAGAGA